CAGTCCTGTGGTCGGTTTCTCAGTCAGTCGGTGGTTTGCTCGTCAGTCCTTTGGTCGGTTTCTCAGTCGGTCGGTGGTTTGCTCGTCGGTGGTTCGGAGGGTTAGTCGGTTGGTTGGTTGCTTTTCCAACGATGAAAGTTGAAACATTGAGTCATTCACTCAAAGCTCATAAACATTTTTATTCGGCTAAATTCATTTTTTTCGGACTATTCGGGAGAATAAAAGTACTCTACGCGTTGAAAAGTTCAGAATCTAATGTCGACGAAAAGACGCTTGAATAAGTAACAAACATTCAACCTTTTCAAATTCAACAGGATTCATCTTAAAACCTGGCAGCTGTTCCTTTACAGCCAGAACGGCAGCTTTTGTCTTTTCAAGAATGTCTTGATCTGTGGACAAGTGAGATGTGAGAGGGTGAATCTTTAAGCTTCCTTAAATACTTAATCATGTATTTATTTGCAATATCTAGGCAGGCTGACTCAGTTGAGCTTTAACGATGGTATAGATGGGGGCTGTATAAACAATAACAACGCCAGATCACAACACCGCGTGCTATCCTACTCTTTGCGAGAAGTGCGTGGGTTCTTCAACGTCCCCTGCTAGCCAGATGTAGGAGACAGAACCTACGGTTTATCGTCGTTGTCCCAGGAATACTACAATGTCTAACCATTTTCAGATGTCACAGCAAAGGTAGCACTTTCTCTTCAGTTGTTGTAAGACACTGAGAGCGTTGGCCCGGTCTGGAGCTCAAACCCTCAACCTCCCGCCCGACAGTCCGGCGCTCCACAACATAAGCTAACCTGGCGCGGGTAAACTCCATCGTGATGACGATCAGTATCGAAAATTTATTTCGAGAACTAAAACATACTTGCAGAAAGAAAGCATTTACCCAACAAAGCAGTTAGTCAAACTGGAACAAAAAACGAAACCAACTCACCAACAGATCCAGAGCTTTCCTGTGCTGCTTCCTCATCAGTTACTGAAATTTTCACTCCTTCAGAAAAAATACGAGAGGATCAAAACAAACCAGGACAGAAAAATGAACAACTGACGCAAAATACGAGACGATCAAAACAAACCAGGACAGAAAAATGAACAACTGACGCAAAATACGAGACGATCAAAACAAACCAGGACAGAAAAATGAACAACTGACGCAAAATACGAGACGATCAAAACAAACCAGGACAGAAAAATGAACAACTGACGCAAAATACGAGACGATCAAAACAAACCAGGACAGAAAAATGAACAACTGACGCAAAATACGAGACGATCAAAACAAACCAGGACAGAAAAATGAACAACTGACGCAAAATACGAGACGATCAAAACAAACCAGGACAGAAAAATGAACAACTGACGCAAAATACGAGACGATCAAAACAAACCAGGACAGAAAAATGAACAACTGACGCAACTGTGATTAAGGACACTCCCACCACACCCTGAAAACTAACCTGATCTGGGCTCAAACGTTGGCACCTTGACCGTCTTAAGAGAATCAAGAATGAGTCTATGGTC